ATTTTTACCGGTCTTTCTCTGGAATTATTTTTGCTATATTATAAGGTGCATACTTATGAATCAAAAACTTTCGTTTAGACCATTCTTTCCTTTATAATGACTACTATTTCCTAAGTGGAATGTGATAAAGGACTAGTGTCTGAACTTACAATTATTTCCATGGGTCTTAAGATCCCATAACTTTTCACCTGCCTTGCCTTCCAAAATATATCTTCCTCTAGGATAAATTGCAGCTTCACCTACGCCTGACTCTCTGCAGCATCCTCAAAAATAATCGAACTCGCGTCGTGCGCTACGGGTTGTGGTATGTTGCCACTAGCTTACATTGTTAAGGATAGCTGTAGGTCAAAGAACCTATGTGACTTTCAAGTCAAGCCAAGCCTAGAAAGCTACGCATGTAACTTGCAAAATAATCTATTGCGATGACGGTTCCATCTTTCTCATAATCGATATGGGAGAGACCTGACTTGTCTTCAAAGTCAGTTATGCCTTGTGATCCACTGATACTTGTTGCAATGTGGTGTGGTTATAACATGCCAGCATACTATACCCACGATCCGGATTCGATTCCCGTTGGGATACTGATTCGGGTGTAGTCTAGCCTATTGAAAATATCATTCGAAACGTAAAGCTAGGCGTACCTCAATGGCACTAAGTAGCATACTTATGAATAGGAAAGTTAAATTATTAATTAATTCTATTATGTTGCATATGGTGAATATGTTTATTGCTAATACATTATAAAAGCAGAATAGCCATAAAATCTTTTCTCGTCATTTTTTGAGAAATCCTCTCTTTCATATGAGAATAATTATTTACAGTAATTTGCAATGCTGTGATAATGTGACTTGAATTTTTACTTCGAAAATAGTCGAGAGGAATTTTTAGATTGGTCTCAACGGAAATGGAATGAGGATTACTTTATGGTGAAGATTGCTAAATTGTCCGAAGAGGTCCTGGGCTTAGCGTCCTACGACCCGTGTGGACCCTTGCCAAACTTTCATCTGCCATCTAATAGGCATAATCAGTGTGATAAACCATACTTCTTGATAAAGCAAACTAGCATATCAAGCCAAGAGACTGGGTGGTTGGCTGCAAACCTACTCATTGCTTAAACCTAATTTTGCTGCCTTAATGATACATCCCATGATTTGGTTGGCTACTCAATGCTTGCTATACATGCTTATAGATGGGTTCAGTTAATTTATATAATGTAAATGTAGATAGTAACTTTTCCCCCGCATAATTTTGACCTATGTTTAAGTATGCGTTATTGTGTATTACATGTATACAATGTTCAGGCCATGAGAGGTGTGATAGTCATAACTATTCTTTAAGCCATTCCAGCCTACTTTTTCTCAGGCCTTATTTCTGTCTACTTTTGCTCTCTCCAATATCTACACAGTTCACACTTATTTTAATGCCTTCTTATCTCATATTAAGGATGCTGACAGTTTTTTAATTTTTGGATTCCCTAATACTGCTCCTGGATGTTAAGTCCCTATAAACTGTAAAATGCTGTTTTGTGGACTAGTCTATTAAGTTTCCTGTATTAGCCATATGTTAAGACAGTTCAGATATTTGGACTAATGGCCTTCTATAGGCAGTTTTGTGTTAAGATAATCTCTATACTATTCGTCACGCCTCTCACACTTAATTGCTACTACAGAAGCACAAAGCCTTGTATCACTCTGACCTGCCATCTATTTTCTTGATTTATTATATTATTGCGCTTCTTGTGGGGTGTTTTTTCTCATTCTAATAATGTCTGATTCAATGGCAACTCTCTAGCCCCTTCAAGTTACACTTAATCACTAAGGGATTATCCAAAGCCTTGCTATTCTTCGTGTACTGGGCTATAGTTTTCTAGATGTTTATTTCATCTACTATGTATACACCATTCTCTCCATTTTTTCCATGTGATTTACTATTTCCTCAAAATGAAATTTTTAGGCCAAAAGCAATGCCGTCAGTCGCACCAAACTCCTTGATTTCTGTCAGTGGTTCTCGAAGTTCATCTGGTGTTCGCCGACGTCAGTCCACTGCTATTAGCACCTCCGCTTCCCTAGCTGCTGCACTAGCTGTATGTTTTTTAATTTATTGCTTTAAAATGTAAAATTAGAGACATCATATACTTTTATTATTTTATCCTTTGTAGTAAACTAATTTTTCACAACGATCATGTTTGTCCAGGACATCCTATAATTTTAAATCGTAGGATTTCACTGATTAAAGCGTATTAAAGAGCTTTGGGAAGATATTTAAAAAGGTGAAAAAGTTACCACTACTGGCCAAAATTGATCATATATTTTTCCATAACTCCTACTTTAGCCTCATAAGTATTATTATGAAAGAAATTGAGAAGGCAACCTGAATTTATAGGTTACTTTTACACATCCATACCCAACATATTATTTCCTTTATTCTATACAGATTATCCAAAAACGTTAACCTGTAATCATTTTCTAATTCCATACTGAATCTCTTCGAACTCATTAACTTTAGAAACTCATTCCTGCCACCAGATAGAAGAATAGCTTTATAATTACTCAATCCATAATTTAGGGTATATAAGCGCTTCTTGAACTATACGGACCTCGAAACTAACTATAGTTATTGGCTAAATCTAAATCAGGCACTCTGTTTCCTCACTTAATTTGCCCCTAAAATCAAATCATGTTATATTAATTACTAAATTATTCGATTTTTCATTGACTGCTTAGCTTTTTACTTTTTATAATCTAACTTTAATTATAAATCCTGTACTACCAACTTAACGCAATATTGTGAACTTAGAGACAGGATCAAAACTTATAATCAAATCTCCATGCTCTATTACTTCCTTATTTATTTTTTTATTGAAGTCATATGGGTTCCTTATTAAAAGCAAACAAGATCATATTTGATTGATTGGCTAGATTTCAATTGTGATGTATTATGCATAGTGCAATTGGTATTATTTATATTAATCCTGATTTGGACTCCGTCTTTATGAATTTTGGATAGTCCAGAAGCATTGGAAAATCAAGCATCTTGTTGAAGACGCGCGTTCATTTTACAGATCTACAACACCTACACACTGTTGTAGTAAACCTTTAACTCTAGTCTTCATTATTTCTTTAGGGTCATTTTTTGCTATCTTGTGTTTTCTTGTTTGTCCCCAACACTTCGATCCTTTTTTCTATTCATCATACTCTTATGTTGCCTCTGCATGGTTATCATCTAGAGGAACGACCTTTAACTTCATATTACTACTAGTCTCTCCTGGGAGACGATCAGTAAAACTTCTGAGTTCGACCATTTGTGAGTTCTACTTGTTGAACGGTTGTTGGAGCTCTTCCTTTTATAAACTTGCGATATAAGATATTAGTGCGATTTCACTATGTTAGCTAAATCTTATAGTGGACAACATATTTATCAATCGTCTATTCAACGTCTATCTGATTTTCATCAGTCGAACCAACCTGCAGAAAGGAAGCGCCGCCTGCAGACCCGTATTAGAGAAATTTATAGTCGAATAAAACGCGAACATCGTGCTAAAAACTGGTCACAATTACAGCGTCTCCTTTCCACAAACAAGGAGCTGTTGAGCTACCAGTTAGCCTATGCAAAGGCCGCTAACATGAACGCTTGCTCTGGGCGGCTCTTGGCTCCGCCTACATTCAGCATGGACATCGATTCTGTTTCAGATGCCAAGATGTCTACCCCAGCGTCCCCCTTTCAGTCTTATGATGCTCAGGTCAGCCCGCCCTTGCTTGCAGAGCCTGTTGAGATACCCCAATTGTATAGCCAGATGGGGAAGTTTGAGGCTAGAATTGCCGGAAAACTAGCCAGAGTAGGTTTGACAATTTTACCTCAGGTGAGCCATGGACATCTCTACATTATTTTTTGACTATTGCATGTTTATGTCCTCTATTTGATATAGTACACCGCTTTCGTGTCATCACATCTTTACAGCTATTGAGATAAACATTCAATTAAATTTCCTATTGATGAAAGATCAAGCCTCATCAACAAAAGCTTATCTCTCGACAATGGGCCATTGCTTTGCACCCAAATCGACCATAATT